TTTCGCCGGCACTTTATAAATGACACGAAACGCTTGGTCGAGAGCGGTCACCGGATCGACGCTCGAGGTGGGATTGTCGCCAGTAGGCTTGGCGACAACAGAAAGAGCTTACAAAGGGCTCAACAGAAAAATTTTGCTCACCATCCTCTTAAGACAGTTGCTTTTCTGTTTGTGTGCCCATACGCGCGGGATCAAAGGAACCCGCGGCTTCCCCCTTGTAACCTGTAACCAATCAGGAAATGGTGTGCATTGATTGGCTTCGAACTCTCGTGTGGCAGCGACCCGACCTTGAGCTAGAGGCAGACAGCGTGGGCGGCATTCACCTTGGATCCAACAAAAGCTTCCGCGCGACATTGTCAAGCGCGAGCGCACAGCTTGGTATGCGAAGGCACGATGAGTGAGGGCAGTGACGTTGATCACGGAATGCCACAAAAAAAACGTACTACATATGTGTTGAAGCCCCGACCGTGAGGCAGAGAAGGCGACAATGCAGACGGCTCCTGCGGTCTGTATAACGGACAGGAATGTGTGGGGTAGATTGTAACGTCCGAGTATACGAAGGCACGAGGGGTCAGCACAGTGAAGCTGATCACGGACTGCCACAATGCCACTACATTCCCCCTGCCAAGTATGCCCGTGTTCCAGAGTTTTCGGACCATCCGATGCAGCACTTTTGATTGTCTGGGTCCCAAAGCTGGAAAACTCAGACGAAATCCCGATACTGTAGTCAGAGTGACCGCGAGGTGTGCACGATTGTGACTTGTTATGAAAGGAGGGAGGCATAATTCCGCTGCACCCACCTAAATCATTATTCTCTCAATCCCCCGCGTTCCAATAGCAATGCAAACTCAGAGACTTGCACGGAAACTGTAGCTGACCAAGTTCCACCTTCTTTTTACGTGTGGCAACTCACGACATGGTCTCTAACTCCACGCGAGTGGTGGTGGAGGAGAAGGGTTCACAGAGGTGAGTAAACAAAAGCTGGATACGAAAATCATTACAGCCTGACCCTCGGTCTGCAATAGTACAGACTTACGCCGTCAGTTGGCAACCTTCTAAGCCACAGCTGTTGGAGTGTCATGCTAGGTCACGAGCAGCCTTCTTTGTTTACCTGAGGCGGGTAGGTGCTTTATGCGAACTGGATCAAAATTATTCTTCCCCCCTCTCTCGTCCGTGTCACAGCAGCAAACCAGAATCAATGTGGTTGGCTCTGCCATTAAGAGTAGTGGCTGACACGAAGCAAAGCCGCCATCTGTTGTCTGTCAGGCAGGGGCGTGCATCTCAAATACGCGACAGGTGCCATAAGGGCGGCATTAATAGTCTGCTGTCAAGAGCGGCGAGATAGCGTTCGCAAACATCAACTTCCGTGCCCGCGACAAATCAGAAGCCGGACAGGCTAAGCCTATGCGGTTCACTACTGCAGTGCGTTAATTAGTCAAAGTATCTGTAGGCGTAGCCATTATTGAGGCATACGTGAGTTGGACCAATCATCACGCCTGAAGTCGCGTCCTGACGATGTGCGTCATAAGTGGCGTTTCAAAGCCGTCGACTAGCACAAGGGTTTATCAAACCCATTTTAACCTTAGATGACAAATTGTGTTCTCCTTATTGCCTCGATTTTAATGGACACATAACTCAAGATAAATTCTGCGGCAGTGGACGCGTACACATGCAACAAAGCAGAACCAGTTAGGAGAAATTTCAATTTCCTGTAATTTACTTTTCCTTTCAGCTCACCGGGACTGACTCATCCGAAAAGCTGGCCCGTCTTCTGGTCTACTTTCCTTACGTGGTTGTGCAGCGCAAGGACGGTTAGTTCTGCTGAAAACTGTTTGCTATACCTTTTATCCTTTTCATATGGTGTTAGCCATTTTCCCGAGTAAACATTATATCTATGGCCTCCTAAACTGGAAACGGGGACAGGAATGTCCCGCGTATCAAGGGACCCTGTGCATAATTCTAGCAGGAGAAGATAATCCGTGTCCGCTCCTCAGCCCAAGTTTCTTACGGAATTCTTAATTAAGGGATTTACGCGTGATAAGTACGCAATAATAAAGAAATTAAAGCCACTTTTAATTGTTTTACGGAACTCAAATGCGGACGGAAAGGTTGCGGAAAGGACAATAAAGACAGTAAAAGAAAGCTTATAGGCCATGAAAACTAGCAGAACAACTCCTATTAGTTAAAATAATCAAATAATTGTTTGGATAGGCGGAGACTAGACATACTGAAAAGGTGCAGCTAGTTTATTAATATTAGTAACCTCCCTCAGGTGGTGCCATTATGAATCCTTTCCCCGTGTCCTAACCCCAGCACTAGTTCTCACATAAGCATAAAGAGTAACCCCATTTTAACCCTAAGCATATCGAGAGGTGTGTAGACTTATAAGGTTAACCCTAACAGGAGTAGGGCTTTGTAGTCGGGCCACCTGTGGGAAGGTATTAATGATAAAAAAGTACTTTTGGTAGGTCGAACTTCCGCGTATCCAAACAATCCTTCGATTATGTTAACCAATAGGAGTTGTTCTGCTAGTCTTCTTGGTCTATACGCTTTCTTTTCAGTCTTTTTCGTCCTTTCCGCAGCCTTTTCACCTACAGTTTTGGTTCAGTAAAATGATTACAAACGCCTTTAATTTCTTTCTTACTGCACACTTATTCCGCCTTATGCACACAGTAACCACGAATTCCGTAAGACACTTGGACTGGGGAGCTGTAGACATTTTGCGGCCATACGGTAAATCCCTACCAAACTAGAAACTCTTTGCAACTCACAATAGGCCTGTTCACCAAGATCTCATTTTGTCTATTCGATGACCATAACTTTTTTCACCTCTTTCCAGACTATGTGCTCGTAGTTGCCTCAGACATTTTGAACTATTCGATCAACTGCATGGAAGAAAAGAACGCCAAGGCCTCGGAGGAAGCCAAGCCACCAGCGGAACCGCCCAAAAGGAAGCATAATTTCCAGGCAGCCGTCTAATGTTTCCACCTCGCCTGTTCCAACTCAGGAATCGGCGTCCTTACTTGATTCTCATGTGTCCGTCGCCTTGCAGCGTGCGGTCTCTTTCTTGGTTTACTTCGCTCAATGTGTCTATAATAAGCTGTGAATTACCATACGAATTGCGTAGGGAGATAATGATTTATCATAAACATGTTTACCTAACTGCCTTCAAATTCTTTCTCTTCTATTGTGGGTCGCTTGAATCATTGTTTCCGATCTTCTAGTCGGGA